CACACTTCAAGGTTCTTTCCGTCCTTTAGGCTATACAAAACCTTTATTATATTCCATAATTTTCTAATTTCCTCACAAACTACTCTTTTCCCTTAGTTCCATGACATTTGACTTTTATCTGTTAATAGCTTGTCATTTTTCAGGTTGTAGCTCCATCACTTAAAATAGTTAATATAACTCATCCATTTCACGCTTATCAAGTAATCACTTTGCAAACAAGTATCCAATCCTTACAACCACCCTTTACAGTATGTTACTATTCAAGATAGGCCAGGCTCCGCTGCAGTAACAAAAAACGCCAACTCTCATTTGGCCCAACACAGCAAAGATTCCTTACTAGTGCTCGATGTCCAATGTGTTGTGGAAGGAGTCAGTTCATGGCAGACACACTAACAAAGCAGCCGCCATCTTAGCATTGTTCATTGACAAGTTAATGATTATGTGCCCTGGCCTGAGGTGAACTCTGTTATTACTCTTTAGAGCTTATTGGCCAGAATTAGCCACAGGATCATGGCTACCACTGGGAGAGCCTATAATCTTTTTTGTGTGCTTAAAAGAGGAAGAGCTGGCCTTTTAGAGGAACAGTCCATTAACCTGAGGCAAGTTGATTGCCTCAGGTAAGGTGCACCTGTAACATTGATTAATAAATGAATAAACTAAGGCTCAGGGATGTTAAATGTTTGAAGCAGGAAGATAAAATACATTGGGAAATAATTTAAAATGTGACTACCTCCAACTACTGCTCTTATCCATGACCACTGGGGAGGAGGGATGGGTTTGCACTGGGTTTGAGCCCTAGCTCTGCACCTTCCCAGCTCTTTGTATAATTTACCTTAATGGGCTTCAGTTCCTCATCTATAGTTTTACCTTAAACAACAGTTGTGAATGAATTATATATGTAACATACCTGGTACATAGTAGAGATGCAGTGAATGGTAGATGCTGACACTAGTATTCATTCATTCAAAACTCACTCTTACTTCATTGATAACTGCAAATAAGATTCAGAAGCTCTAAGAAATATCTCAGCTACCCATGGAAGCACTGGATATCTTTTTCAGATAACTGATGTTACCTGGGAATCTGGGATTCTTAGGTGCCTGACTGACACATAAGAATGAAACAGCTTGCATTGGTGCCCAAACCCACAGGATCCTAATCTCAATTACAGGGTGTAGGGTGGAACAAGCATATAAAACTGAACAGTTTATGGGACAGAATAGCCCCTTCTTTCTCCAGGTGGTGAAGAAATAACATTTAATTTTTGAAAGAATCACACGCATAGGTGAAAGAACAATAAAAAACAAGGATCCACAGATGAGGAAATTATTTTAACTTGGTTTGTCATTACTGCTAAAAAAAAAATGAGAACTTACTCTTCATAACGATCTCAGCATTGTCAGCAGTTGTCTGCATTCTCCCTTGTCAGGGGTGGAAGAACTCTTTCTAGAATGTTTGCTTCCCTGGTGAATATGAAGAAGAACAATTTTAATCATTCTTCTGTTGGATTTTCAATTTGCTGGGATTGTTAAAAGAGATAGAGTAGATTGTCCTCTTGTTCCTCTACATGTCCTTTCTCATGCAGCATTTGTTAAAATATGGGAAGGGGCAGTGCTGTCCTGTGAATCACAGAAGAAAGATGAGTTGAGATTTACTGCATCTTAGAGATAGATATTTACTAAATTGTTCATGTATTTCTTTAAACTCCAGATTCTTTCCCTTTTGCTGTATTTCTTTAATCTATTTTTCTTTCTACTTACAGAGGAAAAATTGCACTCTCAATTATAAGAATATAGTTATATTTGATAGTTCGCATAGTGAATATGGTGCTAGAAGTGAATATCAGTTACTAATAATTATGAACATCTTATATGTCATTTTAGCACTTTTTTTTTACTCTTGGGTTTTTAAATTTTGTGGTTGCTCTCTTTCTCCATTAAAAATTGTATTCTAAGCCCAAGGACCCAAGTTCAATCTCCGGTACCCCCCCCAAAAAAAAATTGTATACTAAAAAGCAGGAATCACAGTAACCACGTAATATCTAAAATTAAGATATCATACTGTGGTATTAATAAGATTAATGGTAGCTCACAATTAAGGAGTGCTAGAACTTATATTTTAAATTTTGTGGGCCCTCCCTCTCTCCCTCTCTCATACAAACATTGTAGACACACCCAGGTTCATTCACTTGCAAACCCCATACCTATAAGATAAAATAATCACGTCTGAGAGCTAAGGTAACTTGCCACAGGTTGAAAAGCCTGAACACAATGGATCCAAGAATGTGGGCTTTCAGTGGTCTTCCCCTAACAAAGACTTGCTGGAGGACTGTGCTGTGCCTGAGGTACCACCTGTGGAGAGAGCTGGTCTTCTTATCCATCATTATACCCGGCTCCTAGCACAGAACGGAATGGAACAAGGGAGTGATGTAACTAGTGCTCTATTTTTGGAAGATAAATCTGGCGACAGTGAGTGGGATGAAGAGAACAGGAAGGGCCTGGCAGCATGGAGAGCACTTTGGATGCAGTAACAGACAGGGGAAGATGATGAGATGATGAACAAGAGAGCTGTGCTGAGAAAAGCAGTGAAGGGGATAGAGACTTAGCAAGGGGGAAGGAATGAGAGATGCTGAGCACGTGTGGATGGGAGGTGGGCTGGGTCTTGGATAAGCAAATATCCGCTCATGCAGCAAGTGCTTTTTGAGCTTCAACTGTGTGCCAGGAACTATTGTAGATGATAGGGATGCAACTGTGAATCAAAGAGGTGAAGATTTTGCTGTCATTGGAGGGTGAGTGGATATGCTGACTGGAGGGTGTATCAGGCAGGATCCTTCAGAGAAGCAGAACCAGTGGGAGATGGAGGGAGAGATGTTCATGTGTTTCAAGGAATTGGTGACGTGGGTGCAGATCTGGCAGGTCTGAAGTCTACTGTGCAGGCCTAGAGGCTGCAGGCCCTTGTGCGGGAGCTGATACTCCAGCCTAGAGGTAGATTCTTCTCCCGGAAACCTCAGTTTTGTTCTGAAGGCCTTTCAAATGGTTAGGTAAGGCCCACCCAGATTAGAGAGAGGAAGATCTACTTAAAGTCCACTGATTGTAGGCACAATCCACATGTACAGAGCACCTTCGGGGCAACACATAGATAGTGCTGATTGAACAACTGGGTAAGACAGCCTCCCCAAGATGGTGCATGAAAACTAACCGTCAGAGAGGGGAGGCAAGAATGACAGTACAGGAAAAGCATGGGGTGTTGGAGAATAACCTTAGTGCTGTGGATGGGAGCTTAAGGAGATGTCCAGAGGTGACCCAGAGCTGAGGACATTAAGTGACTTCTCTACATGTTAAAATAGCAAAGAAATGGTCCTGCTGCTGCGCCATGTGTCATGCATTTGCAGAAAGCACATGAGTCACCCGCTTCTTGGGGACCGTCAGAGAATGCTTGACATTTTCCCCGGTAGCAACACCAGTTCGTGAGCAAGTTTAGTTAGGAACTTGTTGAGGGTGGAGCCTGAAGTTGGGTGAATCTCTCAGTTATAAGCCCTGACACCAAATTCCTGTTCTACTGATGTGGTATTTTGACCTGTTTTCATTGTCATCTATTTGCATATTTTATTAATGCCTGCCTCTCCTGTTCTGGCCCCTAAGGGAGGGAACCAAGCCACTACAATGCTGATCCTAGATGTCAAGCACAATTCTTGGCATATACTTCTTGTTGAATGAAGGAAGGAAGGAAGGAAGGAATGAATGTGGTATATACCTTCCAAGCACTAAATCTGCAGGGCAGCCTCAGCAACAGTCCGGAAACAAAATATCATGTCCTAGTTGCTACTGTCCTCTTTCTAATCCCATCCTTAGCACGTGAGTTCTGAATGTCAATATAAAAGGTGGCACTTTTTGAACTCTTCTCTGATTTGGGAGAACTTGAGCTCAAAGCCCTCTAACACAAAGCAAATGAGATTTCCAGAACTGTTAGAACAAAAGAAGTTGAAAGTGAAAGAGAAAGGGGTGGAAGTATTCAAGAACAGTGCCCTGTTGAGGAGAACCAGGCATGGATGGAATGTTCTAAGAAAGCCCTCCTAGAACACAGGCAATTTTCTCTCTCTCCTCTCCGCCCCCCCCGCCCCCGCCCCCGCCCCCGCCCCGACAGGAAATTCTCAATGTTTTGGCCCGTGACTGGAGTCTTGTGAGTATGAAGCCAAGCTTCTGACTCCCACGATTCCTGGTATCCCTGAGTGGGCCTTTGTGAGCCAACCTGAGAGAAAGTTCACCTAGGAAGCCATCTTTATGCCCCTCTTCTCCTGCCAGAGGCTGATAACAACTAGCACATGAGACCGGCCATGCACTTGGGCACAGGCAGTAATAGTCACCCAGTGTTAAACCATCGACCCTGGCTTCTGATTTGACAGCCAGCAACGAGAGCAATTTAAAAAGTCATTTGTGTTACTAAATCCTTCCAGGATATCTTCTGCCCTTTTGTGTTAGACCCCAAACATTAATGGAAATCAGCCTTTACTTTGCATAGTCTTCTGATGATGGAAAAAGAAATGTAGGGGTGTTTGGGGTTTTTTTTTTTTTGGTACCAGGGATTGAACTCGGGACCTTGCACTTGCCAGGAAGGTGGCGGAACCACTGAGCTAAATCCCCAGCCCCATATAGAGTATTTTTTTAAAGCAGACTCTATCAAGTCATCCTGCAAAGTCTGCAGGTTTCCCCAATTGCATTCTTGCTACTAAATATTCTTTCTACTGAGAAAGAGGGAAATCTGTTTTTACCTTCTAGACCTTTTCTGAACTTGGGAGAGTTGTTTGCAAATCATACAAGGCACTGCTGGGATGCAGACAGATTTTGGGTCGTCACCACAGGGTGCATGAGAAGCTCCTTGGCCCAGGAGTTAGGTGGTTTGAGTCTTGGCCTGGGACTGAGCAGTTGAGCGACCTTGGACTTCTTATGGAGTAGGGAGTCTCTGACTTACCACGGCTCTAAGATGTATGGTTCTCATTGCAGGCATCTTTTCCACAAGTCCTGTGTTGACCCCTGGCTTCTAGACCATCGCACCTGTCCCATGTGCAAGATGAACATTCTTAAAGCCCTAGGGATCCCGGTAAGCACAGCACAGCCTACAGCATCATAATGTCTGACTTCCTGAATTTCCCCCAAAGCAAGGAGAAAACATCTTGGATTTTGTGTTCCCTCAATCACATAACAGTGGCATCACCTAATGTGGCCCACAAGAGCATTCCAGGTTTGGCACTATTTCCCCTCTCCCTCTCTCTCACTCTGAGGTCATCCTGACCCTTTTCCCGTGCCCACTGTATTTGTCTGTGAGCTGAGATGCCTCTTGTGCAGGCCATAGGCAGGTCTTCTGGGGGCCAGGTTGGGACACCGGCCTCTTGTACACTGGCTGCTTCTGTAGTCACCACCCTTGATCAGTCATCAAGGAGCTCTGCAGGGACCTTGAGTGAATAAGCATGTAGACCAAGAGCCACTTGTTCCAGCACTGCCATCCAGCTGCTTCCCGGGTCAGTGACTTCTAAGGTTTACCCCTCCCCCAGGGCAGAGAATCCCACCAGCTGGCTGGATGCTCCAGGGAAAGGCTTTCCTAGGACTGTATCAAGTGACCCCCACAGTGGTGGCTTCTGAAACACCAGCTGCTGTGTGCTATTCCCTGTAAGCAGCTGAGGGCAGGAAGCAAGCCAGGCCACCAGAGCCATGGACTACACAAAAAGAAGTGAGAAAAACATAAGGCGCTGTCTCAAGGAGGCCACGTGAGCAGAATTCAGAAACCAGCCTCCCTCCCACTTCCCAGCTCCACTTTGCTGCATCCTGCCTATTGTCACTCCTCTCTGCTGATGGCAGAGAGAATGTTAATAGTCCCAAGGTGTCACTGAGGGAAGAATCAGATCATATGTAAGAGTTTTCTTTAATGCCAAAGGGCTAGTTAGGACTATCAGGGAGACACTGTTGGAGAGAGCACACGTAGTGCACCAGAAGGGCATTCATTCACTGAATTTTCTACCCTGTGACAGCTGCCTCCATGCCAGCTGCAGGCTGATTTACAGTTGATAACGCCAAACCCAAATCAACTTGCGTGATGCATATAGCTCTAAGCTAGATTTTAAAGACAGTGCATTAAATTTTCAGATCAGAGTTGTAAATGTGTAGTGCATTCATGGTGAAAATCAATTACTCTGAACATGAAACATTAATAAAAACCAAGCATCTCAAGCCAGATACTGGTAACTTGAAAAATCAAACTCAGTTTTTGCACTTTTCACATTTCTGGCTGTGGCTGATTCTTCTAAAGGAGAAGGAAGATGTGTATATGTGTTGTTTGCATATATGTGTGCGTGTGTGTGTGTGTGTGTGTGTTTGGTCTCCAAAATCTTTAGACTCTTCATAATTCAAGGGATATAGTTGATTGTTTGACCTAGTTCCTACTGCTCAAGATATTTTCAAAGATTCTAAGTGTCAAAGATCCTAACAGTCTCATAGTTCCTTGGTCAGGACAATAAAACCAAACAACCCTCTGTAGTTAATATTGTACTAAAGAGTATTTGACTCCAGACTTTGCCTATGAAAGTATAATTTCTCCAGAAGCTCCTTATACATGAGGTTTAAATATTGCTAATTGTTGCTAAAATGGAATTAATTGAATAGCCTTTTGGCTAATTTCCAAATTTACTAACATTTTAATTTTTGGCAGTTGAGTATTGAAGCCCATCAAGTCTAAATAGGATTTTATTTGGCATGCTTTCCCCCAGGAAAATAAATATTGGTGGCATCGAGTGGATTTTGCCAAGGATTTTTAAAGGCCAGCCTGACAAGAACGTGACACCCCCCGCCCAGCTTGGCCCATAGAACAGCATGTCCTCCATTAAGAACAGGGCACAAGTACTGGGCTGCTTCTCACAAATCCCCCAGGCATATGGCCACCCTCGCTGCACCCCAGGGTTCTTCGCTTCTTGTCCTAGAGAATGACAGAATCGGAATCTGCGAGGAATTGTGGGTGTTATTCTGTTCTATCCTTCTGCCACTGGGGAGCACTGTGCCTGCCTAGGATACACCAATGAAAGGATTTCAGTGCTATTCTTCACCCTTCCCCTATCCCTGGATAAGCTCACAGCCTTCTCAATTAGAAAACGCTTTGTGTATACTCACTGAGACCCTTTTGATGCTGCTTAAAGTGATTGTCTTAAAGCGCAAGGACCCAAGTTCGATCCCCAGTACCAAAAAAAAAGTGATTATCTTATAATTTTCTTATATTCTTCATATACCATTTCTTCTTATTTCAGGAAAATTGAAAAGAGCCTGTCACTCTGATAATTTTGTTTTTATTGTTTTCAACTGAGTGTCTACATGGCCTGTGCTATACAGCAAATATATATATATATATATACACACATATATGCACATATATAAATATATGTACGTACATATTGAAAGCCAAGAGTTAGAGACATTTTCATTTTGTAAGTGATTTCTCTACGATGAGTTAAAGAATTACAGCACATGTCACAGATTATGAAATTCCCTTAACAATGGATACCTTTTTCCATTCTGTTTTTTAAATGTAATACTAAACTGAAAGAGAAAGTTCTTTACTCAGAAGTGGTTTTTTTCCCTTTGTCCGCCTTGCAGTACTTCATCCTCCTACTGTCTGTCAGGCCCAGGTCTGTCTTTGTAAGACAGCACAGTTTTAATGACTTCTCCTCTAAGTTTCCATAGAACGAGGTCTTTCACATGACAGCAAATACCTCCCATAGTGATATTATCCTGACATGATTAGGACGATGATCACCATTGTGTAGCTGCTGCATTCACAAGTTCTATAAGCAGTTGATGTATTTGAGGAATTTCCCCATACTGACCTAAATTTAAATACCTATACATTATTTATTTGTAGACAGCATTTGACATCTTTTTTAAATATTATGATTGTGGTTTTTCTTAGAGGTATATAAATTTTGTTTCTTTTCAAAATGTTAGTCTGTTTGATGAACCATATAGAGAGGATATAAACCAGGAGCCTCTAGGAGGATGGTCTATGAAATGTTATATCGAAAGCCAAATTATTCATAACTGCAAGTCCCACTGAGCTAATTAGCCCTTTCTCCCTCTCCTGTTAAGGATATAGCACTGTTCTTATTGGCCCACAAACTAAGAGCAAAGAAACACACTGCCTCAAAATTAAATACATAAAAATGAAAACCACCACTAGACTCAACATTTTTTAAAATATCAGTTGTCACTGCATATGATTGCATTCTGCTGTGGATGGTTGAAAACCCAACCAGCTCCTTGCCTTCCTGGTGAAGTTGTTTTATCCCTGATACCTGACTCATGATTGCTTTTGCTATAAAAAAAAAAAATCTTTACATAGCGTATCTTACTTTTCCATAGAGCTTAATCCTCTAATTGATCTTGGGCAGATACTGATAGGCTCATGTTTTTGGAGTAGAATTCTGAGACTCAGATGAAATGTTCCACAATACTAGGTACCTAGCGGCACTATGTGGAGCCTTGGAATTGAGGACCAGTATAATGTGTTCACGTCTCTCTGCACTGCGTATGGACCAGTGGGAAGTGACCTGCGAGTGGAGGAAGTGCCATGGAAAGTGCTGTGGGGTCAAAGATGAGTACCTGGGAGAGGATGCTCTTTAGAAAAAGTGGCACTGGCCTGAGAATTAGAGTGATTAGGAATTCATCAGGGGTCAGTTTGAGGTCTTAGAATGGGAAAGGGAGGGTGACTGGGGCAAAAGTCATCCTGAAGGGGGGAGAGTATAGGCTAAAGCACTGAAACAGGAGAATCAAGGTGACACCAGCAAAGTAGGCTGGACCAGGCTGCAGACCTGTTTTGTTGTGCTCAAGAGATTGTGATTCATTCCTATGGAGAAGAGAACAATCCTACCTGGTTTTCTTTAAAAAAGAACATTCTGGTGAGAGAGTGGAGACAAATCCAATAGAGAAAGGCTGGAAGAACTAGACCAGTAATGAGAAAATGTTCATAACTATACGTGCGTGTGTCCAGTGTCACATTTATTAATTACAGTGCATTGGTCATTCTATAAATTGACTTTTGGCAAATTGAATTTTAATAAAGTGGCTCACTTTCAGTAGAGACAGAGGAGCCGAAGGAAGGAAGGAAGGAAGGAGAGAGCTGGCTTTGAGGAGTTTGGGGGACAATGGAGACTTCCAACTGGCTGTTGGAAACACAAATGTGACCCGCAAGAGACTAGCCTTACCTACTAAGGGCAGAAATAGCACATGAGTGTAGTACTTTGGATCTCCTCTTTGTGTTCCCCAGGAGGCCATGAATTGTAAGTTTCTCTTTTCATGAATTTTAAATACAGCATTTTCATCGTGATGCTAATATAGTGTCAACCCAGTACTTTTCCTTACTCCTAACCATCGTGCCCCACATACATTGAGAGGGGGAAATCACATCATGTTCCTCCTTCAAGACAAAGTTGAAGTTCAGATCAAAGCTATTCTTAATATTCCTTAAGACTACATCCTTCCACCACCTTTTAAAAGTAACTTTCATGCCTTCAGGAAAAATACAACTGAAAGTAATTTTAAAAGTTTCTCATGGAAGAGAGAGAAATAAATTTATGTTACTTCATACAGCACAACTAAGACCATAGAGTGAAACTTCCAAAGAGTAAGATTTTTCCCAATAACACAGGAAGGAGTCCAACACCACCAGCAAATGCCACCTGCCTTGCAGGGCAAAAAGCTCCATTGCTGTTCAAGGGGAGCAGTCAGTAGCATTGCGTGGGAAGAGGCCCTGTAATGATGGTGTGATTGAACCGGTGCTGTCACCCTTGTTTTAGGTGCTAACAGTGGACTCATGTATGATCTAGCCCATGTTAAGTACATAGGAATATTTTTCTAAAGTTGGTTTTTAGCTTTTTAAAAAGTAGCCTTACCCTGCCATTCTGTATGTGTGTGTATGTATGTGTGTGTATCGCTGAGCAATTTGCAATGAGTCAGATTTTGTTCCCCTCCTGCTTTCATATCATAGTGTATTTGTAAACAGTGCATGACTCTTTAGAATAATTACCAGGCTGCCAGCTCTATCCTACATGGGGAGTAAACACTATATATAAGGAAGTTCTATCATTATAAATAAATGTCATGTGTTCCCTCTAATTGTTTAAATGCGGAGATCTTGCTACTCCTGGAATTAAAACTTTATCCCTATATCCGAAAGGAACCTGTGGAAAGGAGACTTTGGAAAATCTATGTTAAAGAGTTTTTGCCTGTTAATGAAACCATATACAGACTGTTTTTAAACAAAGTAGCTCAAGAAAAAATACTTAGTTTTCCACTGAGACAAAGTATTCCAGCTGTAGACATTTCATCTTTAAATTGATGACAGGCTCTAAGGAGAGGTCTTTTTCTGCCTCCCCTCCCCCCACAGCCCAATGCTGACTGCATGGATGACCTGCCCACGGACTTCGAGGGCTCCCTGGGAGGTCCCCCAACCAGCCAGATCACAGGCGCAAGTGACACAACAGTAAACGAGAGCTCAGTCACTTTGGACCCTGCTGTCCGGACTGTGGGAGCCTTGCAGGTGGTCCAGGACACAGACCCCATGCCCCAGGAGGGAGAAGTCATCTTTACTACTAACAGTAAGTTCTATTGTGCTTAAGACCCAGAGCCTAAAGGGCTGTTGTGTTGTGGGGATTGGAAAAAATGATACCTTTCCTCGAGGAAAAAAATGAGTATGACATTGCCAAGCTGAACAGTCATAACTGCCTGGCACTTACAAGCTCAGATCTTTCCTAAGGCAGCAGGGCAGACAGCAGACCTGGCCATGCTTGTCCACACGCCTGCTGCCCACACCATGATGCCTGACCCCACACACAACAGCACTACACTTTCTCCATGTCCCCTTCTGCACGGTACCTGGAGTAGGTAGCTGATGGGTCTGGCCTCTGAGGGTGGAGGGAAGATGACAGATGCATCTGCTAGGCATGCTCAGGAGGAGTGGGATAGGGCACAGCCCACCCACTTATGTGTTTTACAATATATACACACTTGAGCTCTCCTGAGTGTGCCTGTGCTGTAGAAGCTAGTCTGGACTGTGTGCAGAGAGCTGATTCTGTTGTTCTAGCACTCCAATATAAATGCTGCCTACTTTGGGATTTATGCAATTATGTCCCAGCCACTCAGGCTGGCAAGTGTCAGGGCTCACGTGATCCTCCTGCTTCACCCTCCTCAGTTGCTGGGACTCCTGTGGTCCACCATGCCTGGATTAAGTGGTATCACTTTATTGTGTTATCTGAGTACTGACAAATAGGGCCTTGTGTGTGCCCACTGAGCTATGTCCCCAGCACAAAATGGCAGCCTTTTAGACAGGCACCTTTCAGCATGACCTGAAGCCCTAGACAGTGAACATCACATGTAAATATCTCCTGGGTGGTGTTCTCCTCATAGATGGTCACTGAACCTTGTTCTGTTTGATGACAGTTATAAAAATACCAAATATCTGTGTGACTATGAAGATTGACTTGAAAATCTAAAGTACCTACTATTAAGTCTAATCTAGTAGAGATCAAAGCTTCAGGAGTTTCAAGAAAATGAGGATGCAAATTAACTGAGATTTAAGGTTAAGAATGGGTGGATGTTGCAATTTTTAAACAAAGTGTATTTCTTTTGATAGGAAGCAAGCAATTCACTTATAGAAAATTTTGAAATATAGAAAAGCAGATTGAAGCATCTTGGGGTATTTACTTTTAAGTCTGCCCTTTTTACATATTTGTGACTTTTATAGAATTTATAAAATTATGGTTAAATGTAAAAGTATGCATTTTCTGGTGATGAAACAGCAGTCTTATGTAAAATTGAAAGATAAAGGAAAAAAAGAATGAAAAGTCAGTCAGGGCACTGCTTTCCAGAACAGTCACTTTTAACATTGTGCCATCGCTTCTTGGCCTTTTGGCTAAGGTCAAGTGTAACATTGTGCCTATTTCTGCATCATCTTCTATGATATAGTTGAGATGATTTATAGACTTTGAATACTGATTATTATAACCTTAGCGTTTTGACAGAATTTTGACAGAAAGTAGCTTGGAGAACTTGGTGACAAATATCTGCCTGGTGAGCTTTATTAGTTTTTTGATAGAGTTTTAACTTCAAAACCTTGACTTTTAGAAGTATAAGGAGCTTACCATTGAAACACTAACCATTAGACCTCTAAAAGCTTAAAAATATTTACCCCTTTGCTTTACAGGTCTAGACTTGTGCCATCCAATGTTAATATAATGCAAGTGATATATATGATTTTAAATTTTCTATAGCCATATACACAAACAAAATATGCAGGAAGATCATTTTAATATTTGACTCAGTATATCCAAAATATTTTACTTTTTTTTTAACTTAGTCTTTAAAATCTGGAGCATTTTAATTTATCCATATTTAAAATGCTCAGTAATCCCATGTGACCAATGCCTATCACCCTGGGGGACAAAGACCTAGAATCTCAGTAATTTCACTAGGAGAACCTTAAAGGTTATTTGATTTTTAATCAAGAGAAAATTGTGGCCCAGAGGAGCAAATGGCTGACCCAGGTCAAACCGTAAGTTTTCTTCTCAGTGTGCAAGATGATCTCAGAATTTCTCCACTTACTGGACATCTGCCATCAACATAAGGCATGGCCACTAAAGATCGTAGCAAGGAACACTGGGATACCGGTTAGAATTTTGTTGCAGTTTAAAAAAATGTAAGCCAGGAACATTTTTCAAGCCTGTAAGAACAAAATAAAAAGTGGATTGCTATCCTTTCAATACAATGATTATCTGATATTTAAAGACAGTGTGTTCTCTGACAGACCATTTTGGAAAAATGACTATGAATCTGTATATGAATGTACTTGGTAGATCTCAGTAAAGCCCAGATGACAAATGAAAGAACATTTTAATCTAATGTGGGTTAAATGGCATCTAAAATGAAATAGATGTAAATATACTGTGGGTTAAAGTACATCCAAAAATGAAACAGAAAATTATGGCCTGTATCCATGTAATTTACAATCCTTAAACTATTTTTTAAAATAGAATCAGAGTGTTCAGCTGATAGCAGGTATTAAGTAGATGTTTATTGAATCCCTTGAGGTGAAATGGTCAACCTGGGCTTGAAGCAGGGACCTTATGCTCATGATAGAAGAAGTGGGAATGATCTTAAAAGATGATATTAGCAAAGGTGAGAAGAGGAGGCAGGAGGAATGAGACTATATCTGCAGTCAGAAAACTGAGGACAAATATGAGATACAGTTTCTTAGCCCAGAAATGAAACTCTTCTCACATTTTCCTGGATCATATACTTCTGGCTAGTTTTGCTTACTGTGATCTAACAGAGTTTTACAAACATAACCATTAACAAAATGGTTGTAGATTTCTTAAAGGGAAGATTCTCTATATAGGTTTTTAAACTGCTCAGGACCTCCTCGAAGAAGTATTTAATCAGTAAATGAGCAAACACAAATGTATTGCTGAGTAAAAATATTCAAGTTTTCATCAGTGTCATTATACTCAACTCTCTCATGCTACCTAAAAAATAATGTAGTGGAGATGCGAGTGAAATTGAAGATACATTACTGCTATAAATCACAAATAAGTAGCCCAGTGGAGATTGGACCTAACTGTTCTCCAAATTCTCTTTTCCTCCTCACATTTATCTACCCAGACCCAGAAAATGATAGGAAAAGACGAAACAGTGGCAGGTAACAGATACATAGCCACACACCAGGCACCCTTGAAGCCTGTCTTGTATTTTAGCTCACAACTCTGTGAGGCAAATGCTATTTTTATCCTCACTTTACTGATGCAGATTTGGAGGCACAGAGAGATTAAAGTAACTGGCCCAAGGTTATGAGCTGGTGACAGGTGGAGTTCGAATTCAAACTGGGCTGCTGGCTCCAGAAGAGAGGCTAGCACAGTTATATGTGCTCCGTTCCTACTTGCATTCTCCTTCCCACCTCTGTTCTTCCTTTTCTGGCAAATGTGTTGGGGCAAATGTCAAAGTCATCTCAACACTCTCGGGGGAAAACCTGTAGAACAGATTTTCTTTAGGGTGAAGAGGGGGAAATCTGGCCTTAAAGGATCACCTTTAACTTCCAGAAAAAGGGAGTAAAGGAAAGCATTTACATAGCCACAGAAATCAAAGATTTGATGCAAGTCTGATGCCAGAAGAGACATCTTTAATTATACATTTTTAATGTTTCTCACACTCTTATCTCTTGCGACCTCACAGTGGTCTGGATCAGTCTTTTCCTCCACTTCTGTGTAAGGGGTCTGGATGCCCACCTGCTTCTCCCTGGTCTTTATCCACAGGCCTGATCGCACCTCAACGTACCTTGCCTCTTGAGTCCCCAAGCTTTGGCCACACCTTCTGTTTGGTTCCACTGGGATGAGTTTCTTAGGGAAACACAGCTAAACACAGCTGTGTGTGTTTGGAGACTCCAGCGAAGAGCTAAAGACAGGGAGGGAGAAGACTTCTTCTGCCCTCCCCAAAGCACTCTGCATCTTCACAGGAGCGCTTGAAACCTTCCCCTTTTCAAGGAGTTGTTGGCTCCTCCCTTCATTTCCAATACTTTCCCACTGAATCTCTACAGACTCCTGTCAGGCTGCCCGTATACAGATCGCTGCCCACTTGCCACCTTCTGTATCAAAGTAGGAGGAGCTGTCAGTCAGGGGGTTGAGTGGAGAGAAGGGTAGAATCAAGAAATCTCAAATCCTCCCCAAGATGTTATGAGGAGCACTTGGCATGATGGATGTGGCCAGGAAATCTCTGGTCTTCAAACTTTGCAGAAGGATACAGCACGCGCGACTCAGTGTGGAGGCTCACGAAGCAGCTGAAATGAAAGGTGGCGTGGATTCCTCTGGGAAATCACCTTTCCCAACTTCCATCAGCACTGATCCTTGGGGAAGGAGCAGTGTGCCTGATGTGTTGGACACGTATGGCTCACAGTGATGTCAGAATGCATCTTTATTTTTGCTGCAGTGACACTTAGATGTATTGAGTGGGTGTCATGGTCCCCTGCCACTGGATGAAAACTCCCAGCAGGCCCAAGAATTGCCTGCTTCCTCTTGAGAATTCTAAAAGCTCCTTTTAGAACATATATATGTTCTATATATATATGTAATATATATATATATATGTAATCTGTTGATCCCTTTTCTTGCAAGTCCTGCACTTTTTAACAGAAAGCCCTCTTGCCTCCTCACAAGGCCTCTGCAGCCTCCAGGTACTAGTATTTTACAAAACTATTTTAATCAAGGTGGCATAAACTCCAGGATTCTCGCTTCCAAAGATACGTTTTTATTTCTCACTGATCGTATCATGAAGAAATCAAAGGTCCTCAGGAGGAGAAACCCATGTCTGGTCTTACTGTATCTTCCTGGGGATGTGCAGGCTCTGTGTTCAATTCCTGAATGTCTTGATGATCATTTCCTGAGGACCACATCGTAAACTGGTATCACTACTAAACTAGTCATTAGAGATAGGTCAGCCCTTGGAGGAGGGCAGTATATCTATATAGATATACAGTGGTACCTCAGTTCACGAACTTATCTCCACGATTCTAGTTACAACCAGAATCGTGGGATAAATTCTATGACCAGAATCAAGGAGAGACTCAAGTTCATGAATCAAGGTACCACTATATATACACATATATACATACTCTTCAAATTGCACTCTTGAGACAAAAATAACTGTAAAGCATCGGTGAAGTTGCTCCACTTTTTAAAAAGTCATTTTCATGCCAGTGCTAACAGCTATCACTGCAACTACCCAAGACTGTCTAGAGATGTGCACTTCACACTCGTTATGGAAAAAACTTTCAAAGAGTGCATACCAAGACTTGTATTTAGTTTCTGGAATGCTGCTTTCTCTGATTCAGGGAACTTAACATAAACTTCTCTGTGGAGTCTTCATTCCTACAGGCACATTCTCTTAAAATCAAGCTATTTTTTAAGTGTCTTGTTTATTTATGGGGCAAATGATGAAGCATTCAGAACATCTATATTCAAAAGTTTTAAATGCCCCTACCCCTGCTCTTACCCCGACTGAACATGAAAACGAGAAAGACTGTCTGTGCAGGACTTTTCCAAGGAACCTAACTTTGAACCTCTTTGAGTCAAGACAGCTGAGGGACAAAACAGAGTTGGCTTCAATATCACATTTCTGTTCCAGATACGCAACTACACTTTGCTGCATTTGCAAAACAGCAAACTTCCAGGTTTTGTGTGACTACAAAATGTATGGGTACACTCAGAAATAAACACATCTACGTAAAGCATTCCAGTGTTTATGAGGGAGTTGCAAGAGTGAGCGGTCACATCTGCTTTTTGGACTTGCATTAATGCCAAAAACGACAGAGTCTTTGGCCTTGACTGTGGATAGCTATGCCTGCTGGATCCAGCCATGAGAATGATTTCCCTTGCTGCCCATAAGACTCACATTAGGGATGGAAAGATGATAGCTTTGATTTGTGAGCATATTCCACCGTGACAGACAAAAGAACCAGTGAGCCCACTTAAGACCTTAGATCCTACTGTCATCTCCCCTTCAGGAAATAGTTAAGCCACAGTGGACTCCTTCAATACTTTTTAACGAAGCGTTTGCAGATTGTACTACTCCAAACAACAGTCTCTGTGTCTCTTCATGTGTCAGGCCCCCGGAGCAACATCGGGCCCTTATTTCTGAATGCCCCAGCTCTGTAGCTCAGTGGCAGCTTCAGCAAAAGGACAGCTGTCCTAAAGAGCAGAGATCTTTGCAATAAGCACATGCCTTGATCATCGAGCTTACCCACATGGCAACTAGCCAGCGCAGAGCCCTCAGGGCTTTGCATGGTAACGTTCCTTCTCAACTAAAAACACTTGGCAATCCAAGAAAGCCCTATCAGGCCCAGACTTCCACGGTTTTCCTTTCTTGTGTATCTTGCACCTCTAACAGGGAGGATTGAGAACCTGCAGATGCACAAACAGCCTGGGGAAAACTTGGATTGCCACGAGGAGCACTCAGTCCGGCTATGACACTCCATCCCCCTAGAAGATACTTGTCTTCTTGAAGTCGCTCTGCCAGCAGATGAAATCCATTCACCACAGGGAGTTTGTTTCAGATGCTCTGCGTTACTTATGGACAGCACCATCTCCAATTTGATGAATTCCTCATGATGCTGTCTTTCCCCTGGTAAGTGTCACGGCTCAGCAGCTGTTAGCAGAGTGAGCTCAGGAAAAGGCCCTAACAGACCTCCCCTTTACCAACACTGATGCTCTGCACAGATGGCAGCAGCTGATGGCAGGAAACATAGTGGGCAGCTCAGCACTTTCTCCATGTTTGAGCAGTATCAGGTGTACATAAGGTAATGTTTCTGTGTGCGTTTCAATTCAAAAGCAAATCATAGAGAAGGTCCATCATTCTGAGAGAAAGCAGGAACAGCTGAAAATCCCTTTTGGATGACATAGGGATGAGCTTTTAACATTCAGAGTCCGAAGGTTAAGGCAAAGTATTTCAGGAGTAAAATCCAGTCTACCAGAACATTACCAGAGCTACTTGAGGTAAGATGAAAGGCAGGAAATTTGGGCCTTGGGCTGGCTTGGCCGCCGACTGGTGATATGTCCTTGGGCAAGTCCTTTACCCTCTTTGCATTTGATTGGGCATTATGCAGGCCTATAACTCTGAGATTAATATGAGAATCCCTTTGTGGCAGGTTTCCAAGTCTCACAGGAAAAACTCCAGATCTTGCATCCTCGTTTACAAGCCCTCCTTGCCTCCCTTCTCCTTCTAGAGCCTCTAAGTCAGCCTAGCTCGGAAGCCCGCCCTCAGCTTTCCCCACACCACATTCTCTACCACCACCAAGCATCCAGATCTGATCTGCTCATTGTCACAGTGCCTGATTAAATGACAGTGGGTGGGGCAGCTAGAGGAGCAGCATCACTGCCCTTAGTCCCCCGCTGTAGCTCAGGCTCCTTCTAGGAGACCCCTGCGCAGTGGACCTTGTATTGGAGCAACCCAGCTTTCTGCTCACAGAATGCTGACAAGCAACACTTGCCTGGTTTTTGTATGGCCTGTAATGTAGATTTCAGCCACAGCTATGACAACATGTCATTTAAATCGAAATGTTAACACAGAGCAATTCTTCTCGATTCTGTTTTAATGCTGACACTAAACAATGAGCAAATAACACTTAGGAAAGCAAGCACTGGGTTTCTTCCCCACAGTGGTGTAGGTGCAAAGTCCACATTCATGTATTCGTGTAAAGTCCATATTCATATGTGTGAATACACAGTGTAGTATCTATTTTTGCACATTGGTAATGCTTTGTTTCTACAGTAAATACTACATACACTATGTCATTTTCTCATCTCAGGAAAGTTTTTGCAAAAGCCCTGTGACATCATTTGGAATTGGAATTATCTCCATTTTACAAATGAGGAACAAGTGCCTCAGTTGTTGGTCATAAATCAAGGCAGGGAAACCCTCTTACTGGGCCCCACATCCAGAGTTGTCGATGCTATCTATGTATCAGTGATGGTGAACCTTTTAGACCTTTCAGTGATAAAATAGCCTGCTATGGCACGTGTGCCTTAGGTTTACCGCCACTGGTATATATGTATCTGTCAAGAAATTGTAAAGGAAAGTAGTGTTGTTCGCCTAAGAATAGTTCAATTCATTTATACATTTTTAAACTTTATTTTGTCACCAAGATATTTAAGCAACAAACATTTAGTAAGAATTTAATTGGCTAAAACACTGCCAAAAAGTAAATTTCTTTAACTGTAAAATATGAAGTAAAAATTGTTTTGTAAAGAACAATTTAATAATTTATGTCAATCCACTGTTGAAGCAGAAATAAATCTTAATATCATTCGTTGAGGCTTGCTCTACCCTGGCAAAAAGAAATACAGTGAACCCTCAAGTTACAACCGGCCTGGCATATAAACAACTTGGTTAATTAGGTTAATGGAAGATTCATCTGCCTCTTGTTACCTATAGTGGGTACCCGGGGAAATATCCAGATCTCAGCTGTATTGACCTACATCCAACTTGAGTTACAACCAGCCCTCAGGAACTGATAGGGTTCATAAGTCAAGAGTCCACTGTACCTTGAGTTCATTGAATGGCATTTCTCCCCAAGATCTCAAAGCATAATTCATAAATATTTTGTTTTGGCTTCTTACATTCTCCTACAATAGAAACAAATGATAATATCTGTCACAAAGGGAAAAAACAAAGCAGAGGGGCTAAAGCAATTATTCCCACCCTAGCCTAATTGTCTTTCCAAGACTAGATCACGTTTAATTTGGATTTCTAGAAAGAAATGTCCCCAAGAAAATCTCATTTGTCCCAAACCAATTACTGAAGAGTTTAAAAACCTGATTAAAACAAGACCATATAAAGTGATTTAAGACTTCAGAACATCAGGACCGGTCATCAGAGTCCACTCAGGATTTCTGGCTACTCTTGGCAGAGGGAACTTCCAGGGTTGTTATTTTTCCTGCCTTTCCAAGTGCCACCAAAGGATTGATGAAAGGTATAAACCTACATGGACCTGAGAACTGAGAAAAGACCGCAGTAGACACACTTAGCCCAATAAATGAGTGGAAATTCATTTGGAAAGTGAAAAAAGCTGAACTATAAATGCCTAAGAGAGAAATGTGTAAGAAGCAAGCAGTTGTTGCCCTCGTAGCCACGAAGAGCCCCGGCACAGAGGGCACCAGCTGTGACACATAGGTGTGCAGTGTGCTCAGAAGGAGAGGACTCTGGGAAAGACCTGACAGGCATCAGGCCCCCAAGACCACCCCTAAGCCATCTGGTGTTTGTTAGGCCTGCACCGAAATCCTTCACCGGGTAGCACATCCACCCACGCACGCTCGATCTCTTTGTCTCACTGTTAAACTGAATGCAGAGCAGGAGTGGCTAGATAGTTGTGAGAAACCACTACATTTAAGGAGGGGTGGAGGAGAGAAACAGACAGCATAATAAAAAGAAACCCCAAGGAAACCAAAGTAATCTAGAACACAGAAGAAAACTTTTATCCTCACAGAGTTATGAGGCAATAATGCATCTGTGAAAAAGCAGCAGATGCCATGAAAAAATGAGAATTTCCAGAGGATAAAGAACTCTTGGAAATTAAAAATAAAGCATTATTGAAAATTCTCGTAGAATGATTAAGCAATAAATGACTGAAGTACTGTTTGCCTCATTAAACTGTGTTCTTGGTATGAAATAAAAATTGAAAACCTAAATCTGATTTTAAAAATAAGGAAAAACAGTGGTGGAGATTTAGCTCAGTTGTTCTGCCACCTGCCTCGCAAGTGCAAGGCCCTGTGTTTGATCCCCAGTAACAAAAAAAATAAGGAAAAACAGAAAAGGCCTGTTGACATGCCACTGAAGAATTAATCCACTAATTCAACACATGTTCTGTATTAAGATTCCCTGCACAAAAAAAAAAAAAAAAAAATTTGCTGCAGTGAAAATTATGGCCTCATGTGGCATACTTTGCTTCAAAAATATATACTGAGTTTTTAATTATTTCTCTTTTGCATGCCGCATTTGTATTAAATTTGCAGTATATTAGTGTATTAGTTTATTTTATAAGCCAGTGACTTCCATTTTTTATGGTGAAATCACCCGCTACTGCTCAGCCCAGTAACCTGGGGTTACCTTATGTTCTTTCCACTGCTCCATAGCACGGCCTTCACCGAGCCCCGCTCATCATGCCTTGTGCGGTGTCTATGAACCATTTCCCTCGCCAAAGCCATGGCTCACTGCCTTATCCTCTTCCTTTGGTTTCTGCCATGTCACATCTTCACTGCCCCTGTGTCTGCTTTTACCGTCCCCCAAGCTGTCTCCATCCTGCTTCTGAGCAAACATCCATAGAAATCTGATTTTGTCACTTTCATGCAAAGCCTTTGGCCTCTGCACACCTCTCTCTGCCTGGTTTTCCTCACTTCTACCCACCTTTTCTTTTTTCTTTACATGAGAGCATTTCTGCGCCACTTGGAATCCCAGACCTGCTGTACCCCATGCTTCTCCCTCCACCTGCCAGTGCCGGCATATCCTTCAAGCTTTCCTGCCACTCCAAAGAGAATCCTTACTTTTTTCTCCCACAGCTATTTCATTTAAAATTTCTTGAGAAATTGCCTGTCACCCAACTAAACTTAAAGGTCCTAATAGAGTTTGGATAGGATTTTCACCAGGGTGTTTACCCAGATGAAACCCAGCGTAGTTTATGGCACACAGATGCAGTAAACATTTGTTGAATGAATGAATGAATGAAGGGAATTTTAAAGGAACCAACAATAGTTGGAAGATAGAAGAGACTGTATTATAATACATATTTGTAGCTTGTCTTCTAATAAAAAGAGTAAATATATCTCCTGAGGATATTCAAGATGGACCAAACCTCCCTGTAGCCAGTCCCCATGGGGTGACGCTATGATTCCATCCCCCATGTGACAGAGGAGTACAATGTTAAACTGGTCCCCAGTCACAGGAAGCGGGGAGACTAATGCCTTGAGAAGTGGACTGATGATTTATTATTTATCATTGTTGATATTCTACTGCACAGCAGGAATGAGACTAAAAGCAACAAAGAGAAACAAAATAGCAGAAACAGCAGCAGAGGGAGATGTTTTGGAGAAAGACTCTAATGCCTAACTGCACATAAATTTCTCCAAGTGCCCCAGTAATGACATAAAACTAAAAGTCCAGAAACCAGTGAAGGCTTATATTCAAGCTTTTTGTTTTTATTTTGTGCTGTCAGCATGAATCTTATTGTTTCATACTAATCCATGACAAATGAAGATGACCCTACTGAGAGATTCAGGAATGGGAAACCCTCATAACTTTGAAGTTAAAATTGGCCTCAAATCCTGGCCAAAGCTACTTGCTTACCTGCTGTAGCCAACTTAAAATCTCTTGGTCTCCATTTCCTCATCACTAAAGTCGTCAAAATAAAACCTACATCACAAGTTCACTGTGAAGATCAAATAAATCAGTGTTACAAAAAGTTCCTTCCCCTGAGCCTCACACTCAATAAATCATAAATGTTACTACCTCTGTCCCAGCCCCACAGACCACCTCCCTGTGAGAATACACATAGCACAGACGTCCCAAATATCTACTGGTGCCGTTGAAATTTCTTGACATAAAAACATCCACATATCTTCAAGGCCTGATAGTTCTGGGCTCGATCTTAAACTGTCTGCCCATGGGTGTGAAAACTCACATCATCTTGTTCTTCACTGACCAGAATTACATTAGCTCCTGAACCAGAGCTGCACACCTGCTTGTTGTTACTCATCTTTCACTAATCAATCATTTGAGTACTACTGATTTTTAACTGCAAGCTTTATGACAGTGATCTCATATAAAATAATGACTGGCCTTATAACACCATTTATAGACAAGTCTTCTCAGGGTACCAGCATTATCACTAATCAGCCCCATCAATGAACAACCCATGAGTCAATTCCTAGAAAGTCATAATGGGCTCTTTCTGCACATGGCACTGAACTGGTTACACAGATTAAGAATTCTTATGAACAATGCTTGGGACTAGAAGTGTTTGATTTCAGATTTTGAAATGCTATTTACATATCCATAATGAGAGATCTTGGGGAAATGACCCATATCTAAACACAAAATCCATTTATGTTTGGCCTAAGTCTCTTACATACACATAGGCCAAAGATATTTTTATACAGTGTTTTTAGTGCACCTGAATGCATTTTGAACATAACTCACTGCAAGAGGTCAGGTGTAGAATTTTCTGCTTGTGACACCATGTGGGTGAAGTTTCAGATTTTGGATTTAATATTTTTGGATTAGTGATACTCAACCTGTATTCAACAGGCAGTGGCCCTACCAAGAATCTTAACTATTGTTTTGAGCACACTGATGTACAAACAACTGATTTATAGATGGGCTAGTAATTTCAGACCTCCGTGTTCAGTTTTGTTTTTTATAAAATGACCTTCAGGGGACAACTTGAAACAAACATTTTGGAAATATTCACTAACATACATCTCCAAGTTTGCAGCAGATGCGTCCCCTGCAAAAACACACACATAGAAAAACCACTCAGGAGACCTTTTAAAATACGAAAGCATCTAACTCCCTGGCTTCTGAACTGGTGGTCTTCAACTGCTGTTTCTTCCTCCCTTTGGAAGAAAAGTTGCAAGGAAAACTTTTGAAGACAAGGAAGTAGATCATGGTTAAGTGACATTGTCAAAACCTTCTCCCATCTGTCCAGGGCCCAGCTGTGGTTATCAGTTGGAACACCCTCCACTCACCAGGGAGAAGTCAACGCCGAGATGGCTGGAGTCTGTCCTTCCTTGTTCCAAAAGCTTCTCAGAGAGCACACACCAGGCCCGAGTGAAAATCAAGCCAGGTTCCCTACACAAACACCCATGTGCACGTTAGTATACACACCAGCAACCCCTAGAGTCTTAGTTCATCCTCCAAAACCACTGACTTATCTGTCAAGGAATTTCTGTGAATTATTTTAGACAAAGGTGGCAAACTGGTGAGCCATATGTGACTCTGCCTGCATACAGATGAGTTCTGTTGGGTACCGCTAGTACTTGTTATAAAGTTGAGATACAATTTATACAGTAGTATACATAAATACTTACACGTACAGTGGAAATGCACTCATGCTTCACAATGCTTCTGATAAAGTCTAAGAGCCCATACTGAAATATTGTGAGGTTTTGAGGCAGACCTAAATTTCCAACTTGAGAAAGTTGGAAGACACAAAAATTCTGGGCCTCATTCCCTCATGGTAACACTGGGCTGGCCCCACATCATGCCAGCCCTCTTGAGATAAAGCATGTCCCTTACAGGCCACCAGTTTTGCAACACCAAAAGTAGGCATAATTTCAGGGCAACAGCACTTCATTCACATGCAATAACTGATGTCTAAGAAATCAGTGTTTGAATGTTCATATTAGGTCTCATTAACAACAACCACCAAAAAAAACCTGTTGGTAAAATCACGCTGTAAAATGGTATATTCCTGTTAGCCAACAACATACACAGCTAGTACTCTCACTGGTAACTGCTGTTCACAGCAAGGAAGAACAATAAGTGGGGTTGTAGACTCAAGCTCCATAGAAATATTTTTTATCCAACAAATAATTTTTATAAATACACCTTAAGAGCTGTCAGCGCAAAAAAGTACTGGCTGCACTCAAACTTCTGCTGTGAAACAAGAACACTGGAATGAGTTTTTAAGGAAAAGTAATACCTAATAATATCGCCACTGTTATTTAAATAAGGTGTTAATTAGAAAATTGGTTTTGGAAATCAAACTGCAGGTACACAGATTAAAAAATATATCTTCCTCATCATATAGTTGAGATAAAATTTATGCAGCATAAACATTTGCATACACCGCACACATGTATATGTGGAAATGTGTGCACATCTATGCACAAAAAATACATGCATGTACATGTTTATATACATGAGATGTGCATGCTTATGTGCCTAAGCAGTACTCATGTAGACACATGCATCTGTGTATGCATATAGCATGCATGCACAGAATACATATGTACATATTACTCATACCATCAACTTTACATCCTGGTGGTTAGAGAACTAAATTTCTGGTCGTGACCCTCATGATTATAGCTGAAAAAGAAACTGTCCAGGGCCCAGATGTGGTTCCAACTTAGCTCATCAGAGAAGGAAGAACTCTAAACTCAAATTCACATACCATTTTGGATCTTCAGTGGACCTAATGGCCCACTGACTTCTTCAAAAAGAAGTGTTCCCTACAAATAAAGCAACTCCTAATTTCAGGTACAGTGTGTTTCTAGCATTAAAACCTTATGGATAGAACAATACCTTTGCAGCCTAACAAAAAAGTATGTGTCCATCCATGCTGAACACTGAGTATTTTTCTTTGTCTGGGCAGGCATCAGGGAAACTCACAAACTCTTAAATGTTTTCTTATCCCTAAAGTTCATTTAAATGATATCTTTATTGACCCTGATATTAATTTTATTCAAGGCCATCCAATTTAGAACATTTTCTTCAACCAAACTATTTTTACCTATTTCTTATTGACTCAGCTTTGAGAATTTCCCAAATGAACACTTCAGTGCTTGGTCCTTGAGTGGATTCTTTGTAGTAGTTCACACTATCTATCCATGCATGCAACAAAGATGACTACTGGATTCTTGCAACAGAGATCCAAACCCCAAAAGAATATCCATAAAAAATAAAATCAGGTTTTTATCTTGTCGTGCCTTGCTTGTGATGTTGATAGAAATGTAAATCCTAGCAGCCAAAATTGCTACATGGGGCAACATGCTACTGCCTTTTTGTTGTAATAATCACTCCTTTGCTAGTAGTAGGACATTGTGGAGCTGACATGTGACCCGTATGCTGTGGTGCAGGTGTCTGCTTACATTTTGAGCATAAACACTAAGACCAGAAGGCTCTACTAGAAAAAGGAAGTGCTTTCTGTAGAAAAAATACTTTACACATATGAGATACTAACATAAATCCTTAAACCAGTAAAGATGATTGAAAGAATTAAAATTGGTTTTCTCAGATACATAATTTTACTGAGGAAACAGATGTTTGGAGTCATAAAGTAACTACTAAAAGAAAAAAGATGAGGCAATAAGATTACATTCTATAATTCCTTTGGATTTACAGGACTCAAGATCTGCAACATAGTACTAGTTAGTTGGTAAATGGTAAACATAATCATCTTCCAAAGGTACAGAGCAAAAAATATATTCTGGGAGTTTGATGTTTGGAAAGGGGATAATAGTGGTGGGAACTCTTTCTGTTTTTATTTTCCTATCTTGACATGTGGTTACAGTTATGAAACATATGGAATACCATTAGCTCTCATAATGTATACAGCTCATTTCTTATGGAGTCAAGTATGTTTCTGTCTTCCAAGGCATATTGTTGGGGCTTTGACTGTACATTCTTGCATATCCATGCTTAGGATATGCTCATCTACTCTCAGGGCTGCCTCAGTGCCTAAATATGCATAGAGAATCCCTAGCCCTAAAAATGAAGGAACAAAATGAAAAATCATGCTCACTTTAGCTGCTGGAATTACAAAATTTTGAGGGAAACATATTCAAACATTCTCGAGTCCTAATTAATTCTTGTACTTCCAATGCTCTGATACTTTCCTGGATATTTTATCTTAGTGGGAGTGGGAAAAAAACAAAGAGAAACCAGCCTTATTTTCCAGTAGGTTGGTGATCTGGATTTACAAAGCTGAGGTTCACAATGGATGGACTTGGGTTCTTTTTGCCAGGATTGCAGATTCCCAGGTAGCAATGGAGTCTTCTCTCCATGGAATTCCCTGAACTGAAGGTGCTCCTTTGGTATCCATGGAGACTTAGGCTGCTCAGCACCAGATGGGCAAGCTATGTGTAATTAGAGGTTTGGAGATTTTCAGCCACTCTGTACCATATTTACCATTATTGACAGGCATCACACATTATAAGAAATACTCTCAGGCAGCTACACTTCTGTGACAGCAACATAAAATATTTGCACACATTTAAAAACAGAAACCTGAAGACTGCATGGTATCTGTTCACAACAAAATACCTACAATGTGAATGTGGGACATGGAACAATCTTGGGGATAAGGATTCTTCAAAACTACAAGCACAAAGTGTGCACTGACTTTATCCTACCAGTAAAATGATGAACATAGCATGCACAATCAAGGGGATAAGATGGAAGCTGTAACCTGGATTAAATGTTTAGGGTTCAGTAATCCTAAATATTTGCCAAGTTAAAAAGAAAAGGAGGGGATTTATTATAAACATTAGTAAATATTCCCAGTAGCAGCAGCATGAATCTTGAAAAAAGGAAATCAATATTTAGAATCTACATGGACCACATCTTCAAATGGCTTTCTACTATGGAGAGATCAGAAAAACATACTAAGAATAAGAAAATGGGTGACTGTGCAAGTTCAAGGACCCGAATTCAATCCCTGGTACCAAAAAAAAATTTAAAAAAAGAGAGAGAGAGAGAGAATGGGTGAGAAGAGCTTATGACACATGCTGAAAATATCTAGAGCACCTCACCAGAAGTTAATCTGCACATCAGTTTCATTAATTAAAACCCCTATTCTGAAGATGTCAGTGATTTAGATTAATATTTATTAATACCAATTTTAAACTAAGATGAAACTGCCTCTCCTTTGAAAGAATTTAGAGTCTAACAGATGTAAAACAGATGTGTACAAAGTAGAAGTTACTTTGCCAAGTACTGTTTCTTAAATATTGGTCTTGTTTGCCAGATCTACTAAAGGCTTTGTCTGCTTAAAGGATTTGTATAGCCCTCATTAGTTTAAAAAAGAGAAAGAGGAAGGATCACTCTTTGGTTGGTGGAGAACATGAGACCTTAGCCTCATTCATGGTAACTTCCAGGAACTCCCCATGGACTAGTTCAAGGAATTCAGCCTTTTGAAGACATACCAAGAAAGAGGAGGATGAAATGCTCCCGCGTCTTAGGTTTTCTATCCATAATAGTGAAAACTTGCTAGTTTTTAAGTCATTTTAAGAATTTTCCCAATTCTATGCTTCTCGTGGATATGCTCACCTAGTCATGATAGACCATTTATAAATCGTCGCTTCTCACTTCTCATCTCCACATTCTGAAGCTTAAAAATCCCTGGCAGACCAGCTAGCTCACCACACCCCACTGCTGCAAGGGACAGGACAGAATTCTGCACGGGTGGACCCTTCTTCTCAGGGAGGGTTGAGCACGATTCTGAAGCACTGAATTTTTTTAAAATATAGTCCTAGAACGCACCTCATAATGAAGAGCAGCTGGAAAGAGCAGAATAAGTTCCCTAGCCCATATAAATAAATGAAATCCTTGGCCTTAATTTTTTGACTTTTAATAAATAAACATGATTTTTTTTCAGGCTTCCCCATCTGATTTTTTCAGTCTTCCCATTTTTCCCATTGCTCAGTGCATTTAAGTGATAACTACTCTACTTCCTTTGTATAACATTAGGGATGGAGGCTTGGCACTATGCAAAAGAAGCCCTGCCCTCTAAGAGCTTATACTCTGGCTCTCCTTAAGAGTAAAACAAAAAAATCATGGTGGAAATACTTAAATAATGAAAATAAAACAGTGCTGTTAATCAGGTGTCCAGGGTTTTGTGGATGACAAGTGCTCCTCAGAGAAAAGTGGGATTGTGGTGGACAGCACTGTGCCTAGATGAACTTTGGGGTATGCTTCTCTTTCTGCACCCTTCCCAAGTGGGAAGGAACCTGCAGGGCCAAGGAGCAACCCATGCAGGATTCCTGGGCCTCTCCATGGAGACAGAACTAGCACAATTAAAGTGCCTTTGTGTAGAAGGCATAGGTTGCCCATAACCCTGCCTTTGTTAGAGTTTTGGGGGGTTTTTTTTTGGTTGTTTTTTGTTTTGTTTTGTTTTGTTTTGTTTTTTACAGCAAAAGCCTTTTAAAACCCAGTACCGTCAGCCCTCATCATCCACAGACTGCATCAATGAACTGTGAATGGGGAAAAAGTTGCATCTGTACTCAAAATGCCCAGACTTGTT